TCCAAGCAAGAATACGACGAATCTGGCCCATCCATCGTTCACCGCAAATGCTTCTAAAGCAATCGCCTACTGCCAAACTTCTATCTACAAATCTACAGCCAACCCTCCCGCTTTTTATATTGCATTTACTTTCTCAATTATCCCGGGTTCAAATAAAATGTATTGCACCCTTTGACTGCGTTATATAATAGAAAAAGCTTAAACACATTAAACTTATATCTATGAAATCACAACAACACAACAAGTCGTTGAGAGAGAAAAAGGGATACACATCTTCAGCTCAGTGTAACAGAGCAGCAGTCATCGGAGGCTAATTCTAAGAACAGCCTTAAACTATCAGAAGAAAGCAAATCGTGAGACAGTGACTGAGACAGAGAGAAAGATCAACGGAGAAAATAAAGATATGGCAGCCGCAGTAGCATCGTAGAGCAGCCACATTATTACACAACAAACAAATAGAAAGCAATGAGCAATAACGAAACATCTTTTCAAAGAGCACATAGATAAAGGGATTCTAGGAAAGAAATAGCAGAAGACAGTTGTCAAAGAAAGGAAATAATAAAAAAAAACGACAATTTAAAAAGAAACGCTGAGCAGCATTGCAGTCAACATATAGAAAGAAAAAAGGCGCCAACTCCACGTCGCACTAGTTTTGGCGCCTTTTTCAAATACGAAGAGCGGTCATCATCGATCGTCGCCGCGCAAGGTCGGAGACTGCCGAGTCGGACGCTAGCACGCTGATGTCTTGGCGAACACATAGAGAACGACCGTCAGTTTGCCTGTCCATCTTCTCCACCCAAAGATGGGGTCGGGGTCGGATCCCATTATGTAGCAATCGAAGATTGGTATCTCAGTTAGCCTTGACAGATGTTCGTTGACAATCCGAGTGACACATGTGTGATGAGAAGGAGGATATTGGTTGTATAGCCGCTGTGGTGACTGTATGACATTTGGTTGGACTGATGATGATGATGGCGAGGAAGACATTTATGAGGAAGAGTGTATATTTGCACCCCTGGGGTTTCTCGATTATTATGTGTGACAGCCTAAATTATTGTCACGGATATGGTACTGTTCACTGAACAGTAACTTTTTAAAATTATACTTTCGATTAGGCTATTGATAGGTGACTGAAAAGTGCGTTAATCCGGTGTGCTTCAGTATTGTTTGAGAGGGACGGCTAAAGCAAACAATTCGAAGAAAATGTTGCAGTCGAGAGCACCCGCTTGACGCAGTGCGCTGCAACACTTCAACAATATCGATAGTCGCAGGGAACGTTGTCTGTGTGATTCGTAATGGATTTATAAGATCTGAAGAAAGAATTTGAGGGGCCATTTTATGACTAAAAAACAGAAACAGAAAGTATCGAAATAGTACAGTAAAAACAAGGAAGGTTCTCTATTTGACAGAAATATGTATTGGTTCCTCAAAATAACATGGAACCTATTGTGGAATTGGCATTATCATCAAACCCGGATACGTTCATTTCAGCACTTGTTCTCTCCTCTGAAACAGAAATTAAAAAGTTGTCAGTGAATCCTAACTTGCCTAGAAGTTCTGAGGATAATAAATACATGTCATGTGGAAAACGGTTTTCGATAACGTTTTCTCGCGGTATATTAGAGAAGCTGTGATCACTGGATATATTAGACTCTTTCGCTTCTTCTAATTGTTTCGAAAGCCTCGTCTGAAGTTCAATATATATTTTGAATTATTATTCATAACAATCGAGGTAAAGAACTTACAGTACGTCGTCCCTCTCTTTTTTTCGCCTTTGACTCTTTTTGCTTCTTCTTATTTATGGTTTTTGGAGAGAATGATTGAATTCCATCAATCTCAGGAACACAGGAAGAGACATCTTCTTCTTTAAAATTAACGATTCACATAGTTTTCATCAACACCGTACCTCCCGAAGAATTATGATAATTCTTCTTTTTTTCCACTCTTGGCTCTAATGTAACGGGCGTACGATACATTTTCGGATTTTTGCTGGTAGAGGAAACTCTTTGACTTGAGCTTTTCGAATTCTCTAAATGTGTGCTGGATTTGTCTAACATCATTTTTCTCTCCTTCAGTTTCTCAATTTCGAGGCGAAGCTTAATAGCTCGGTAAAAATTAATTCAAATCGTTCATCATCTTACATTATGGACAGTCTGAACCATTTCTTGGTTTTTTTTCTCGATCTGTTGATTAGCAGTATCTAGTTCAGAAAATGTTTGAGTGATTCGTTTCTCTTCGTTGCGAAGTTCCTCAAGCACCAATTTCTCCTGAAGGTTGAATTTTACTATCGAATAGCCAACTTCCTAGAGATACTGTACCTCTTCTTCTTTCTTTTCCTTGAACGTCTGCATTTCACTCATCTTCGCTTTTAGAACGTCAATTGCTTCGGACAATTCAGAAAACTTTGCTATAATTCAATTGTCAATTCCGATATAACCTACAAATCTACATTCCAATTGTTCTGTTAGAGCATTAATATCTATGTTTTCTGTAATCTCTAACTCCTTTCTCAAACCCGTGATAAGTTCTTTGAGCTTATCAATTTCTTGTTCTCTATTACTAATATTTTCTTCAGTACACTTGTTTTGAGTCTGAAACTAATTGAAGTAAGTTTCCATTAATACTAACTACCTTCAAATCACTGCTCTTGCTCAACGTTTGTAACTCTTCCTGTAAGGAACTGAGAATACACCGTTCGTTAGAAAGCTGCTCGCTAACTTTACTAAGCTGAATGAAATCCTAAGTAAAAACATTAAAATTTAAAATACCAGTTCGTTCGTATATGCAACATCACATTCAATTTGACATTTATCCTGATTCATTACTTGAAGATGTTGCTTAGCAGCATGCAATTGCTTCCGGCAATTTTCTAACTCTTCATGAGCAGCAGCTTCAGCGTTATTTTCGTGGGTGATTTGTTCCTGAAAAATAAAATTAAAAGAGATCCATAAAATCTACTTGCCGACTCTGTCGTAGTGATATCACGAAAAATTCCTGTTTGCTCCATCTCAGTTTCTTCATCATTTCCAATTCTACTGATTTCTTGTTGTATACTGTCTAAACTTCGAAAATAGCCCTGCTCTATTCATTCAAACTAACCACCACGAGCTCTTGTCTCATCGGATTTAGATTTCAAATTCTCCAAATCTTTACGTAAAGTTGTTTCGATGTTGTCCAACGCTTCCTTACAAGACATAAAACTCATAATTCACATAAGCCGAACCTTAGATTTTCTCGTGACATTGAAGAGCTTTTCATAAACTGCATAAAGAGTGGAAGCATTTTGGGTCACGCTTTTAATATGCTCCAAAACTGAATATTATTAAATATAATTTCAAAATTCGATTGCATCAATCAATTGGAATCCAAAAACTCACATTCATGTCGTCTTCTTTCAAAATTTTCTGCTTTCTGAATGCCCAATGATTCCAACTTCTTCGTTAAGTCAGAAAGTGTATTGTTAATATTATCTTTATTAATCTCTATGGCGTCTTTGTAGCCTTGATGTACTAAAAAGGCAGAGTTATTAATATCGGCCTAAGCTGTACTAACCGTTATCATTAACTGACTTATTTTGAGCGTACGACGTAGTTAGAATATCATTCAGCTTATGAAATAAAGAAGCTCTGAAATTCTTTTTGAAATAGATGTCTCGTAAGAAATATTCACCGCTGCTCGATAACCTCGAAATTAGTTTTTAAATCTTCGAAAACTGTTGGTGAGAATGCATCGCTTGTTTTTTTTCTTTTACTAGAACTAGGTTCCTGAAAAACCTCATTTCTAACATAATCTACAATCTGTTTCCCGAAATTTACCATTTTCTAAACACTAAACAGAAAATTTCACAGGTTATTCGTCGTGTTCCCTAATCACCGACCAGTCACGACGAACAAAACTTTCAAATTAATTACGGCGTCGGCTCCGTAAATTTGAATTATATCCCGCAGCGATCTGATCACGTCGATTACTTAATGAACCCAGTACTGTATTCGGTTATCGCATGAATAAGAAAATAAAGCTAAGAACAAATAATTTATTACAAGTCTATAAGTTCTTTATGGAACAGAGTAAACAACAAAAACCTGAACAAAAATAAATAATGTGGGTTGAGACCACAGCTTGGGCAGTCACCCGACCCGAAATTTGGAAAATGTCACATAAGTTTAAAGTTCATCGTGTCCTTCCTCGGATTCTTCCTCTTCATCATCTTCCTTATCTTTCTTAGATTCTTCCTCCTCCTTTCTCTTCTTCTCTTCTTCTTCAAGCTTCTTGCGAGCTTCTTCGTCAGCCTTCTCCTTGAGTTCCTTCTCAGCAGCCTTCAACTTATCGAAGGTTTCGGCAGCGTGAGCTTGGGCTTCTTCAACGGAGTCGGCAACCAAAACGTTATCGAAGATGGTTCCGGCCTTAACTTGCCAGAGATCAAAACCGATAGCTCCCCAGTTTTCGTAAAGGTAGAGGTCATCATCAGGTTGGTACTCTGGGTTGTCGATTTCTGGGTGAATCCATTTTCCCTTGTATTCTGGGTTCTTGATTTGCTTTGGCTTCCATTCTCCCTTGTATTCTGGGTTATCGATCATTGGTGGTTCCCATTCTCCGTCCATCTCATCATCCCAATCGTCGGGCTTCTTGGCATCTGGGTCAGGGATGTGTTCTGGCTTATCCCAATCTTCTGGCTACAAAAAGAGCTGAGCTTAGTCAAATTACACGTCTATTTACCTTGCTGTCTTCTGGGTCATCGATGTACTCACGCTCATCCCAATCTTCAGGCTTCTTTGCATCGGGATCCTTGATCTTCTTAGCTGGGAGAAGGTCCCAGTCAGATTCCAATTCTCCTCCTTCAACCTTTTCTCCATCGATTTGGACTTCATAAGTGTTATCGGGGTTGAGGATAAGAGTGTACAAATGAGTGAGTTCATCATCCTATTAAGTAAACATTGTAAAAAGCACTATTTTTTGATAAAGTTACCTTGCATCTGATGTCCTTCTTGATCAAGTGGTTCTTTCCCTTGTAGGAGAAGATAACATGAACTCTCTTGGTTGGTCCACAGATATCAGGTCCGAACATAACATTGTATGGAGTTTCTCCGTGGAAGTCAGCAAGATCGGCGTCGGAACGCATAACCTTTACGTATCCTCCTCCGCAGTCAATTCCTTGTTCGTGCTTGACAGTGAATTGGATGACGATGCTCTTTCCTTTGTTGGAGAAAGCCTTAGGGAAAGCAGCAGCGCGAGAGTAGAACTTGGCATCTTGGGAAGTCTTGATTCCTTGATCTCTCTTCTTGTCACCGAAGAACTTTCCAGCGCTCAACTCGAACTTTCCGTAGTCATCCTTGTGCTTAGATTGGATCCATCTCTTCTCCCATGAATCATCTTAAAAGGTAAGGTTTAACAACTACAATATTTTAAAATATAATATTACCATTGAATTCTTCCTTGAAGATGATTTCGGAGAATCCGATTGCCGCAACGGCGAGTAAAACGACAATGGTTTTCATGGTCAACCAACCAACCAAGTAGAAAGCTAAAAAAGAGAAATGAATTTTGATTCAAAAAGTATAGAGATATGGAAAGAATGAAGAGAAATAATAACTAGCAAGTAACAGAGACAAACTATATCTATGACGTGTGTATCATAAGCATAGTATACGCTCTATCTAATTCAGTCCGAACGATCAGGATGAAGCAGAGAACGTATACTAAATATATATGGCAGAGGACGATCGGGAAGCAACGCAGAGCTGAGAGGGCGTTCGCTTATTGGTCCACGTATCCGTTCAGCCAATGAGAGGACGCCATCGCTGAGGGGCGTGGTTGTTTAAGACGAGTCAGCATAAAGATCTACTAGACGCTGTGCTAATGCACTCGATAGATCAACGAATGTGCTAGAAAGAGTAATAGAGTAGTGAAATAGTGCAGTAATATAGGAAACTGTACGCAGGAAATAGGTTTTACCACAGTTTTTTATTTGTTATTTCGGCGCTGTTCTGAAATACACCCCACACTTTAGGCTCCGCCCACAAGACTGTGCGCGTTAGGGTTACTTTGCGTACAATATTAACAACAACATTTATGATCATACACATTAACAAATCAAGAGCTAGGAAAGAGAGCAATGTCGTTTAAAATAGTAAGAAATATATCATTGTTTTTATTACGTTTTCGGTATATATACTCCCCTACTCTAGTTCATAGTTTTCCCCTTGGACAACCATTAATGTTCTTACTAACATTCTTTTTTAAATCGCTCCAAAGCCCCTCAATCATATTAGTACACGCATTATTTTCCCTGTTAACAGAATTAAGCTTATGGTTAACTGTTAAATGAGTGAACATACATGGAAGAGTAGTAAGCTTAGAGTAACCCTTCCAACAGTCAGTTATTATAGTAGATTGAGCTTCTACATTACACATAATTAGATATTCTAACTCCTTAGCTGATCTACCGTTATTAAGAGGGAAAACAAAACAATCCTTTGTTTCTCTACATACACCCCCTAATACCCATAAGTTGCTGCGTAACCTCCCTCTATTATACTTTCTGCGACTAATAACGGATTCATCTATTTCTACAGTCATATTAGGGCCTCCTATCTTTCTACAATTCCTATCCAGCGCTTTACAACAAACATTCCTAAGTTTAGTAGACCATTCGCTAAAAGAAGTGCGGCTAAGCTTGAAATCATTCATCATAACTTTTAATTAATACTCTTCGCGTGCCCAGAAATAAATTATGGCTAGGATTGTTGAAAATTTAAGTTTAGATTTCTCAAAAAAAGATCCAACACCTACTCCTATTTCTTTTCTACAATTTCGGGTATTGCACCTCCATTTAAACTTTGATAGATTGAGTTTCATTTCTTTTGAGCAAGAAGGACAAGTCTAGATTTAAATTTTAATATTATTTTTAATTTAGTATGTTACTTTAGATTTACAAAAAATGTTTTTCTCTTCAAGAAATTGAAAAACCTTTTCTTCACTTTTAATAATATCGAAAAAAGTTGCATGAGTGATCATCTGGAAAAGGAAATTTAGATTTAAATTTAGTTTGGAAAATGTTAAAATTGATATATTCGTATTCTCGGTACTGGGGGGATACATCCCAGACCCCCGGTTCAGGGAGGTAATCCTTGAGTTGGTTTTACAGATACTTCCTGTCGAAAATATTCTTTTGACATATGTTGTAAAGGAATTACGGAATACGGTAACCAAAAAGCTGCACATTGC